AAATCAACAGTTTGTTTATTTAAGAGACATAACTTTCCTAATGCTAGTGTAATCAACCTAGGTGGGCACCAATTTTCTCTTAAGAATAAAATTTAATATCTGGGAATAATATTACACTAGAAATTGACCTGAAAGTTACGTATATCGATGACATGTTAAACATCTGCAATAAGGTATTTAACTTATTAATTAATAAAACTTAGTGGGGATCGGACGTTAAAGTAAGTTTATTATTTTATAGAGCTTACATACGATCTATCTTGGATTACGGAAGACTCTTGTATGAATTAGCAAGTAATGCACTACTAAACAAAATTAACGTTTTACAGAAATTGGCCTTACAAATATGTTTAGGACCGATGAGATTCACTCCAGCGCAACCTTTGTATTTGAACGCCTTGGAACCTCCTTTTAATTTAAGAGAAGTTTTTGATCCAAAAATTTTTATTAAAAGTATACTTACTGAACCTATTTCATACAAAAAATAAATAGTGACTTTGAATTACTATGATCTGATTAATAAATATCGGCAAAAAACAAAATCTCCCTTACTTTGCCTAGCGTATAATAAAAATTTCCTAGTAATTTTAAAATAAATAGGTAAAAGAACTACATATTAAGAAACTACACGTACTCTTCTTTCTCTGGACATACAGAGATTATTGTATTAAATTCTAGTGAAAACACATATTGAATAAAATATTAATCTATCCATAACGAGCAATTATAAAGAGTCAGTAGCTTTATATACAGATGCCTCTAAATCTTCCCATGGAACCAAATGCGCTTTTTTTTATACCATAGGGACATATAAAAAAAATTCAAACTAAAACAGGAAACTTCGGTTTATACAGCAGAAACTATTGCAATATATAAAGCTTTATTTTATGGAGTTGAAGTTGATTTCGCCATATTATAACATGTAGGATTTGAACATAATGAACTTATTAGCAAAAGAATGCATTTCATCCGATACCAGTATTCTACATAAAGTAACACTTTCTGATAGTATCATCTCTTTCAAGTCAACATTGCTTCGAGAGTGTAGCTACCAGTGAAAGGAATACTCTTTTGTGAATCAAAATAGATACTCGTTTATTCAGTCAGATATTCCCAAATGTCCTTGCTAGAAGTCTTGTAGAGCTTCTAGATTAAAGCACGATTCGGATACATATTATCTTAAACACATATTTAAAATAAAAGTTTTTAATGACGATAAATGTGAGCATTGTGGAGAGCAAAGTGATTTAGGTCATATATTTTGTGGTTGTACTAAAGATACAATAAATAATTTATTTAAATGTAAAGTATCAGCTCCTTGGATGTTATCACTTGGCTCTGTCAACTTTTTTTATTTAATATTGTTTACCTATTTTTGTTTTAAAACCATTTGTTATAATTTTTCTCCTCTCTAGATATAAAAGGTATGTCCTGTTTTTCTAATGTCGATGTAATCTTAACTTTGTGTCAGGGCATTTAGGTCAATTATGATGATGGATCCAGTATTATTCCTTGTATGTCTGGCTGTTTGACGGTAAGTCTAAAACAAACAAAAAATGCGCTATGTATGTATTTATAATTTACTATATTTACACAGAATAAAGTACAATTTTAGTTTAATATAAATATGTTTATTTTAAAGTTTAGAAAATAAGTACCAAAAACTTCAAAATAAACATATTTAAAACAAAAGAAAATGTATTTAATTTTTAATAAAAATAGTAAATTTTTTCAGTAAAAAATAGTAAAATTTAGTTAAATCAGACGTAACAAGTAAATAGCTGGATAACAATATGTACTATAATAAAGGCAAGTATAATTATGGCTCCACTAAAAGACAAATCCAAAACAATACTCTTTACGCACATTTTAGGTACGTATAAATATTAGGGTGGGGTGAAAAATATTCGTAGGAAAATAAAATAACCACTTATAATGTCAATTTATAGTGACAAGAAGTAGAAAAATAATCTAGGGAAAATATAAGTCTAATATTGAGGAAATGATATAAATATGTGCCTGCACATAATGTGGACCCCCCAGTAATTTTCTGATTTCAGTCATGCTATCCAGTATCAAGACAAGTAACTGTCGTCTATCTAAGTTAACCATTTTACATGGCGTGGTTAGTTCTCAGATAAAGTTTGTGAGTATATTTTGTAATTGTTTGTTTTCCAGTTTTCGAATATTTTTTACCTAAGTAGTTTAAACATTTTTGTATAAATATCGCCATTATATTTTGTTGAAAGGATAGTAGAATTTTGATACCAAAGGGTTATGTAAGTAACATCATTTAGAGGCAAATCTTTTAAAATTGTAAGGTTGGAACAATTTTTGCGGTAAAACCTTTAAACATGTGTTGAGTATAATGGGCCCTTTTACTGTTGGCAATATGGGCCTGAACTCATATTATGATCATTTGATCTTCTTCTGTTAGTGCCTATCCTCTATGGATGTTGGCTACTACAATGGCGCATCGTATTTTATTAGCAGCTGTTTAAAATAGGTCTGTGGTGGTCATACCTGTCCACTGTCTCAAATTCTTAAGCCAGGATATTCGGCGGCATCCTGCTCCTCTATTTCCTTCTATTTTCCCTTCTAATATTAATAGTAGGATTTATTTTCATTTTATACTATATGTCCGAAGTATGCTAACTTTCCCTCTTTAATTTGATTTCAAAACTTCAGGTTCTTTTTGTAAACGTTACATTACTGCGTCGTTAGTTATATGATGTACATATGATATTCTGAGCATGCGACGATAGCACCACACCTGAAAAGACTGCAACCGTCTGCAAGACGCATCAGTGAGTGTCCATGCCTCTGCTCCATACATAAGAATAGAAAACACATAACAATTAAGGATTTTGAGTCGGAGATGTAAGTTCAAGGTTAAATTGCAGATAACTTTCTTCATCTGTTGGAAGGCAGTCCTAGCTTTTTCGATCCTACATTTAATCTCGTATGACTGATCCCAGCTATCTGTGATGATGCATCCTAGATATGTTATTTTTTCTGTTCTATCCAATACCTCATTGTCTGCCATAAACATTGCATCTGCAACTTGGTATTTGCTTATGATCATAATTTTCTTCTTCTTATATTATTAACTTTCATTCCATATTTTTTACCGCTGTTAACTACTTAATCTATCAGTATTTGTAATTCTTCAGCAATATCCGCAACAAGGAAAGTGTCGTCTCATTTGATAATAACGTATATTCTTGCTGATACACAATGGGCAATGATAGAAAATCTCCTAGAAATCGGATTAAGAAGGTATGGAAAGAAAGCGACATGATGTTGGTAATACAGTGTATTATAAAAAGAATGGGACCAAAAACAGCCGTTAAAGAATTTAACGTTAGTAGAACAACTCTACAGAGATTGGTGCAGCAATGTAAAGAATCAAGCATTAAAAGAATCAAGCGTTATCATTTCATTGTCACACGTCTCATAAGCTTAGATAAAAAATTCTTGGGCGCCTTTAAAATCTTTATAGCAAAGAAAAACGTATATGGCTTAGGCAAAATCAACGAGCCTTGACTCGGTATGATTTGGCAGAGTTGCTTAGTAAAGCGTTTCTTAAATGTCAAACAGTTGAAATTGCAGTTAACGGCTTCAAGGTTACTGGAATTTGGCCCTTTAATAGGAACCTATATTCTGAAGCAGATTTCATTGCAGAAAAAGATAAAGCAGCAGAAAACTGCAGTTCTGCTTCTCTAGAGAACTAATGATGCACCACCAAAATCGCCAAAAGATCCTTCAAAAGACATCGAGTCTCAACTGGAAAGTGGCAAAGAAAAATATCTTTTTTATTATTCAAGCGATTCTGTGTTCACGACTGTTGTATTACCAAAATCGACAACAGACATAAAGTCTCAAGGGATGCAGCAAAAATATTGATTCTCCTATCTTTTCAAGAAAATATATTGCAAACACTGATAAGTTTGTTTCTCAATTTCACATACCACCTTTACCAGCTATTAAAAAAGAAAACAGCCGAGGCAGAAAGCCTGCTAAATTAAAAACTTTAACTTTGTCGCTGTACAAACAGAGTTGGAGATCTTATTGGAAAAAGGAGTTGCAAAAGCTGAAGAAAAAGCAAGAAGGAAGGTTTCTGAATTAGCAAACAAAAAGTCAAAAAAAAAACAGAAGAAACCTGAAAGCGATTCAGAAGGATTTTGTACTAGCTAACGAAGACGATGATTTAAAAGAAATAGGTAATATTCCAGAAAAGAATGGCTGCATGTTTTGTGATGGTCGATTATCAGAAGACATAGGAGCAGAGCTCTGGATTTGTTATCTCATGTGCCAATTATGGCACATGAACAATGTTCTGGTGCAGAACAGGCCAGTTATTAATTATTTGTGATTTTTGTAAACAAATGTTATAAAATGTGTATTTTTGTCAATAAATGATATAACTGTAAAATATTTATTTTGTGTTTAGTTCAGTGATAGAAGTTAAGTATATAGCATATTTAGAGCAGTGTGGTAGGAGTACCTCAAATCACAACGTTTGTATAATACAACGTTAATTACAAAATAAGATTTGTAGAAGGTCTGCAAAAAAATATAAAGATATTGGTAAAAAATTGAAAAATTGGTGAAATCAAAAGTGAGGACCTGTATTCGGACATTTCCTCTACAATTTATTATTCAATATGTGGTTTATTTGCAACAAAATAATTCTGAGAAAATGGAGCAAATGTTCTAATATCGAATATTTAGAAAAATAATTATGATTATACTGTACATAATATTTAGAACACGTTGTGTGATAATATATTGACGGTTAATGTTATTGTACATAAAAACTTATGTTAATCCGTAATAGTTTATCTTTTAAATAAATTATAAATACACGTGTTAATAATTTTCTTATATCAAGATAAGTTAATTATATTAACGTAGAAAATAAACGATTCCCAATACAAGTTTAAAAACCATAGTAACGCAATGTATACAATATAAAATATTATGACATGAATAAAGGTGATTTACCTAACTTTCCACGAGAATGAAATTTTCTGTTTAAATCTAGAGTGTGTAATATTCCTTATCTGACCTCTGTCGGATATCCTACCGATTAATTTACAAATAATTTTAAACATAATTCCAAGCGAAGAATATTAGAAAACCATTAAACAATGATTTGAAATCATTACCTGACACATTCCACACAAAAAATATGTAGACCAGTATTTATCAGTTTTCAATAGGATAATGTGCATGCAATAGTCATCCTGGTGAAATTCGTTACTACATTCAGTTAAAAAAAACAGCTATGGCCTTTAGAAAAATATATGTATTTCCGATTTTATTTGGTATTTGGATTCCTCTGACAGTTTTCATAACGTAAGTATATGTATACTTCTTTGTATACTTCTAGTAATTGTAGATCGCTTAAATTCTTGGCAGTTACTTCCTAAACTAATGTAGAAATAGATGCATAGCATAAGAATTATACAAATTCTTTTTATTTTTATCTTTAATTTGACAGTTTAAACTGTCATATAAACGAGTTGCATAACAACTGATAGTCTTGTACAATTATAAGTTAGCGTGTTATATTTTAGTACATTCTAGAATATATAGTGTATATTCTATAATGTTTTTAAATTTAAAATATCAAAATGGTGATACAAATTTATTTATAATAAATTATACGTTGTGTAAGATTTAACGTAAAATAAATATATGTGCAATTTAATGGGTAATCATTATTTGAGAATTATTTGGATTCTTGGATTATACTGAATTAAGCCATTTCTGTTGTTGTTCTTCTTTTTTTTCTTCTTTTTCTTCATTATTTTTTTACTATTGTCGTGCATACTAGTGCATTTGCCTATACATTTTTTAGTAACATTGTTACACTAAACATAGACCACAAAATTTAAACTTTTCTCTCTCTCCCTCTCCCTCTCCCTCTCTCTGTCTCTTTGGGGTAGCAACGGAGCATTACGCAGTCTAAAAAGTTACCAACGGTTATAGGGTAAATGCGTATAAGAGTACGCACTTAACATTAAAAGTGCGACATTTTTTTATTTTTACTAAAATGTACTAATTATCATTCCTAATATTGTTAATCAACCATTTAAAAAGATGTTTTAGAATAGTTTTAAGCCATGTTTGTATTCAAATAAGAAATATTTAATTTTGTTTGCGAAGCTGCTAATGCGTACTCTTATACACAAATTTCCATAAGAGTACGCATCTATATGTTTAAGAGTACGCACATTACTGAAGTTTACAAAAATATTAAGACATTTTAAAAATCAAGCTTTATTTCTAAAGTAAACGCAACACAAATATACGTACACATAAAAAAGAAATATGAAAATCATGTTTTAGAATTCATTTTTATTTCATCTTTAAATCTATTGCTACTCCTCACAGTTAAAACACATGAAGTCTCCTGTTAAGTAAGTTGTACAAGATTCGTGTCACCAATTCTTGTATTGAAAGCACATGATCCAGTCTTCAACAGAATTTGAATATAATTCATTACATCTTGGGCACGTTACATCAGGATCATTTTCTTTATTCCCTTTTTGAACTTTGCCCAATGATTTACTACAATTAGACAATAAATTTCTTTTTATTCGTTCCGTCTTCTTTTTTTGTTATATGTACTTCTTTCGATCTTTCCAAATTCTCAAATTCTTCTGTATCTGGGCTACTGGAAAGTATTTCGGACTTTTGAGATTTTGTTTTGCGTTGATTAGGCTTTTCTTTAATTTTGAGTAATAGTAAAATCTCTGCCGCTGACACTGACATATTTAAGCTATTGGTGCTAGCTTGTGATGGTACTAATCGTACCATCTTCGCATTCGATATCAAGATAAGGCACATCGAGAGGTGGTGTAACGTAAAAAGAGAATAGATTATCGTCATTCTCAGGCTGCTTTGAAGAAGGTATTACTTCCGATGGTATTGGAAGCTGAGCTCCATTATTTTCTTCTTCTACACGGACTTTATTTGAAGTATTATCTACTACCGTGCTTACTGGATTGTCCAAAGGTACGTCGGTAACATAGGAGGGGGCAAAATCCATGTCATGAAACTGATCAGGGTTAAACGGATATATTCCCGATGCTTTAAAAGAATTTTTGGCCTTCTGAATATTTGCTACAGAACCATAAGCAGTACTAAATAATCCAGCAACTTGTAATTATGCAATTACTTTACCTGGATTACTTACCATCCACTTGTTACATTCCCTAGAGTAGGTTTTTTTTAAAGGACCAAAAAAAAACAATATCAAGTGGCTGTAGTTTATGGCTTGAATGAGGCGGTGGAGATAAAAGATCAATGTGATTCTCTCGGCAATATTTTATAGCTTGCAGGTTACGATGAAAGCTGTGATTGTCGAGAATTAAAAGAACTTTGTTTTCAGCACTGGGTTTGGCAAACTTATTAAAATGGATTAACTACTAACAAAAAAGATCCGTGTTGATATATCCAGATTCAGAAATTAATTTCAGAGTTGCACATAGTGCATTTAAAAACAGTTCTTCCTTCATTCTTTTTCTGGAGGATATGAGTGCTGGAGTAATATAGTTACCTGTGGAGTTCATGAAAAATATAGCCGTTACAAGTTGCCCAAGATCTGCACTAGCTCCGTTCCCTACAAGTTTCTTTCCCTTGCTCTCTAATGTCTTGGGTAACTTATTAGGCACGGTTGATAAAGCCGATTCATCCATGTTATAAATTGAACTTGGAGAGTATTGCTTTAGTTCATAAAGATTTTCAAGGTTATCGTAAAATCTTGTTACTGTATTTTTAATAAAACCCATAATTCGGGCCATTGAACATTTTTCTGGCTGTGGAAGCGCATTTTTGTTCCGCTGACAAAATCCTCTTACCCATGATTCACCAGCCATTTGTAGATTTCTCTTAAAATGGCTAGAAAGATTATTAGATTCAGCAAATTTATACGCTGCTATTTGGATTTTTTTTTTGTAATTCCATAAAACATCTGATCTAATTCTCGTATCTGTTGTGCTAATTCGCCTTCGAAGTCGCTTGGAATATCGCTTTGAAATCGTCCCAATGATTTTGGTACATTTCCATACTTTAATCTTTTTCTTAATGTGTCCTCATTTATTCCCATATCATTCACTACACTTCTTTTATTACATCCTGCTTCTAATTTTAGCTGCATTTCTCGTAAGTTTTCTTTAGTAAAAATTAACTTTCTATGGAGTTGTCGCTTCTACCGACTCATTATGAATTTAAAATATGAAAATAAAAAGAAAACGTAAAACAAATAAAAAATTTTTGTTCAAGAGTACCCAACTGTGTATAAGAGTTCGCATTGCGTAATCTTATACATCGGTAACTGCGTACTCTTATACATATATGCATTTTGTGATTTTATAGCGTTTATTACGAAAACAAATAGATTTACAGCCAATTTTTTTAAAGTAGTCACTATTTCATATAAATGCAGTCTAAAATTATTTTATACAAAACGGATGGTTTGCATACCTCTCAATTGACTAAATTGTGAACACACAAAATTATAATTTTGAATGGCAACTAGTTGCAGCGACCATATTGACAAAACTAGGTCGATAATGCAGATTTCTGTTTATGATCGTCCAGTAGGAATGTATTTAGAATGTCTTCAAATAAAACTTACTTTAATAGATGGCGATATGTATTACAAATACTAGGTGTGTACTCTTATCATCGAGCAATAAGACAAAAGAGGGAATCTAATCCTTATGAAAAGGAGACCAGTAGGAATGTATTTAGAATGCCTTCAAGTAAAACTTACTTTAATAGATGGCGATATGTATTACAAATAGTAGGTGTGTACTCTTATCATCGAGCAATAAGACAAAAGAGGGAATCTAATCCTTATGAAAAGGAGACCAAAAAAGTGGCCTCTGATGGCGGACATATCCGGAAATGCGAATGCGCGAAATTTAAATTTTCCGACACTTATCAACAGTAGCTATATAATATTTTTCAGAATGTGTCTTAGACGAGAAAGTTTTAATTAATTATTAATGATAAGAGTCTAAAATGCGACACAATTGTTAAAAAACTTCAATATAAATAAGATGTCATGTGACATTTGGGACAAACAATAACATAACCCAACTAAATTTGATGTCAAACAAGGAGAGAGACTTTAATGTGGCCTCTAAAGATCGCACTTCCTGTCTAACAATATGTTTGCCCCCACTACCTTTACATTCCCTCTATTGTCTTTTTGCTCGATGACTCTTATACACATGCGTACCTACTCTTATACACACTTACCCTAACAACCTAGAAAAGGTATAAATTTGGGTTATTTTCTTTATAAACATATGTTTTATTTATATAGCCATCTTATTCATGTTTAAAAATTTATTTAAAACTATTTGTTTTTGATTAACATTTTGTAATATAACTTTGATGCTAAAAGTGTCAACCGCTCCTGCAGTTTGTAGCGCATTATGTATATCCCATGAATTGTTTTTATTAATTGGACAATGAAGGAAAGCGTGATCTAGTTTTTCTTCCTGTCCGCATTCGAAGTATGGATGTGTTTTAATTTATTTATTTATTGATTTATTTTATACATGGGACAACCCCATTAATAGTTTAAAAACTTACAATATACAATATCACAGTTAGGATTAAAATGTGTTTCGTTGCATGTTTTGGCGGTGGAAACAAAAGAGCTCTATGAGAGAAGAGACCCAAAACTTACTATAGCCGAGAGGAGACAGGAAATAGAAAGATATAAAGAAAAATAAAATAACACGGAGGATGTGGCGCAGTGGACGAAAATGCTGACCCCGAACATAAGAGATGGACTGTGACCAAGGGTGACTGGATTATTTCCGACGCAGGTGCTCACAGGACACGAGTGTTTTAGGGTCTACCTTTTTTTGTTATAGTGAGAGAAATGATTGGAAAATGGTTAAAAATAAAGCAGGTTGGACTAGCGTACACAATGATATCCATGCAGTGATCAAGAAAAAAGAAGAGGGAGAAAGACAGCTGGATCAACGGCAAAGCTAAGAGGGAAATATGCTGGAAGTTAAAGTTAGAAAAATGACTCGGACTGTAGTCTGCGGTGAAGGAAGAAATGCCCGTTTGGGAGTGATGCCTTACTAGGAGCGATGAAAATCTTCGACGCCCTCCTAACGAGATAGGGAGCCTCCTTGCTGACAGTCTGTTGATAATAGAAGATAGTGCTTTGAAAGCGATGCCGGTCTTACAGCGAGTATTTTGCGCCCGGATCGCTGGATGACAGAGGAGGGTCTGATCTAGCAGGTAGGCGTTCGGCGTAGATTCGGCGACGAAAGGGCATTTTAAAGTACCATACAAACTTCCTCAATTTTTCTTGTTGTTTGCTAATTTCTTCGCTTATTCCTTGGTGACTCATTTCCTGTCTAGGATGGCGGCAATTTCATCGTCACAGGTCTTCCTGGGTCTGCCCCTCGGTCTTTTCAAGGTTCTTCTCGCTTCCCACACTTGTTTCACTTGGCTTTTTTTATCCATCCTTACCATGTGGCCGTACCATCTCAGTTGGGCTTCTTCGATTTTCTTCTCTATTGATTTGACTTTAAGGCGTTCTCTTATTTCATGTCGTACCGTCCATTGATCCCCTAGACTCTCTACCGGGTCGAGAACAAATCCAAGGTCACTGGTGGACTGAGATGTTTTTTGAATATTCCAGACCCCTCTCTATAAAGACGAAAAAAAGTTAGGATTAAAAACTTAAAATTACTTATACATAGTATAAAACCAATATGAAAAAGTATCCAAATTGAGACTAACAATTTTACATACTAAAAAAACAAACAAAATATAATAAGAACAAACTTCAATAATACAAATATACATATCACAAAGCAAGAGCTTTTTTTGAACTGAGTTAAGTTATATTGAAAATATCAAAATTGAGATCATTTAATAGCCCCATGTATCTGTTCAATGGGTTGTAAATAATATAAGTTGTTCTGTTGAACGGGATATTGAAAACATTGTGGTTAACGTGGATCTTTAGAGGAGCATTAAAGTTAATCTGGCTTAACAGGATTAGACAATCAATAAATCTTACATATAAATATAGCTTCTGACATATGACGACGGTTCTTGAATGAGGGTAAAGTAAATTGTTGTTCGATAGAGAAATAATCATGATTTTCAATAGTAGTGTGAACATGGTAAGCACAAAATCTCAAAAATGCATGCTGGACTCTTCCTAACGTATCAATATTGTTCTGAAATTACGCTGACCAAATTACCGAACAATATTTCAAAATAGTTCTAACTAGGCAACAATACACTAATCTTGTTAAATCAATGGAGAAATACTTGCAATTCCTAGTAACAAAATCAAGAAGTTTAGATATATTTGTTAAAACAGTGTCTAGGTGGTCACAGAAAGTACGATTCTCATCGAAAGTAACACCCAAATCCTGAGTAGAAGATACATACTGGCTGATTATTAATAGTAAAGGTTATTTTTCGATTTTATTGATTTTGCGAGAAAACTAATAAAACAACATTTTTTACATTTAAGTGTAGTTTGTTCTTGCATCTTGCAATAAGGCTTGGTCTTTTAGACTAGCTATAACTTTCCAAAATTTCAAGTCATCTTCCAAAATTTGCCATTTTCTATTTAGGAAACAGAAAGTGGTGTCGTTAATGAAGATATTAAAAAGAAGTAAAGAAATTATAGATTATTATAGATCTTATACAGATATTACTGAAATACTGTCATATAGATGACAACCTATTTTCACTCTTTTGCTTTTACCAGGTGTAGAGTTTTTAATCCATTCAACAAACCTGGCGTACAAGCCTACATTAATTAATTTGCCCAAAAGGATTTCAAGTCAAATAAGATCAAATGCTATGGAAAAATATGCGTATTCTGTAAAATCTGCGGAGGATTTTTTTGGGCTTCATCCAACTTAACAGGTTTTCGTCAGTACCGATTTGCAGCTGTAGGTTTAAAGCCAATTGTTAGTTTTTTATCACGCAAAATTCGTTCAACCGTTGCCAATGATACTCTTGTTAAAAAATCACCTACTTCTTTTCTACTGAGCTGCAAGTTCTGCAAATGATTTTCCTTATCTACTTATCTATGTTATGCTAGTCTCGTATTAATTAACATTTATATATATATATATATATATATATATATATATATATATATATATATATATATATTTGGTTTTAATTCTTGTCTTTTCAGATTCACTGTATCAGTTTTAACCGAACATGTAAGACCAATTCTTCCTTATATAAGTGACACAGGCACATGGGCTCCAGAAAGCTGCATATTTGGAATTATGCTCACAATTGGCTCAATATTTCGTAAGTGCTTTGATTTCGATATTGTTCTACTACGTATTTATAAACGGTCTGCAAAAATTGTTTCTGATTTTTATGTAGTTCTGATACAGTTCTTAAATATGTCACCAAGCATCGATTAAATTCATCGATCAAATGTCTAATGCTCATATTTGGTATATTCATTATTCACTAAAAAACACATTATGTGATAATATACATTTCACTTTTTAATACCGAATCTACGCAATAATATAAAACACTAATAATCCTACTATACCTACTATACCTACTATAATATTTTAAATAACATAATATAAATGAGGATCCAAACTAACATATGAAAAAAATATTTAACGACCTAATGGCTACATAAATCATCAGTTTACCAAAGTGAGTAAACTTTAACATGGCTTTTAAATATTAATTAGCACAAATATATTATTTTTCTAATCTATTTTTTATCCTAAGCAATGAAGGAGAAATCTAAAAAAATGAGGAAGAAAGCAAAAGCGAAAAAGAGGGAAAAGGACAAGAGGAAAAAGACAAAGTATTTCTACACGCCGCGGCCAAAGCAACCGCCCTGTCATAAGCGCTTCATTAACGATTAAAAAACAATGTTTTAAAATAAAATTCGCTTAAAATAGTTATCGGGAAATGATGAAGGTTTGGGCTTGAATTTAGATCCTTAGTGAATTTAAAAATAATGTTTTTTATTTGTGTTGTTGATCCTTAACCCTTTGAGGTCGTTGGCATGTTACACATGACACTATTACTACTCTACTCGTATAAATTTACTAACAATTTGCTCTACAGGTCGCCTGGCATGTCATGATACTATAACAAAACAAGATAAGTCAACGCGCATGTTTTTGTGACGTAAGCTTGTGTGACAACTTTAATGAGAGCAAGTTAAACTTTTACAGCTGAGCAAATGTTTCTATGGATAATAATAAATGTTTCTATAGATAATAATATATACTAATGCCCATTTTAATAGAACTTGAAGTAATACTTTATTTTTGATAGGTCTTTAAAAAAAGTAACTTTGGATGTACGTAGTATGTATTGAACTGAAACATATTTTTCGTAGTTATAATGGCGACACATTGTTGTTGTTGTTGTTTGTTTGTGTTTAAATGACTGCGGACACTAAATCCATTCGCCAATCTTACAATTTGTACTCATTTTTTCATTAGTCATTGTTTCCTATATAATCTTATACTAAATTCCTACTAATACTAATCCTACTATTACTAGTGCTGATCTCTAATATTAGTTTTTTTTCTATTAATTGTTTTTTAGTTATTTATATATAAAATAAGTGATGAGGTCCTCAGAGTTCCACAGTAAACTCTTCTGCAGCTATCTGCTTAATTCGATAGCTACTTTACTGTGGACGGTCCAAGTTCCTCATTTTGTCTCTTATTTATATAAGAGAAATATATAGCTCGTTAACCATTCAATAGATATCAATTTTATTGAATTGTTAATTTAGTAAATTTAGGTTGAGAGTCACCCATATCGGTTTGTTGGCTAATCCTGGTAATTGTTTTGAGGCCATTTATGTTTGACCTTGCACGTGCTAAACATCGTTACATTTCAATTTAAGAGAAGTGTTTATTTGGAGTTCTGTTAATTTTATCAAGATTGTGTTGTTGTATATAAAGAAGTATTTTTAACATGAGTAAAAGAAAATATTTAACTCAGGCAAAGTTAGAGGCCTTAGTAGCCGACAAAGGTAACGGCTCAGATGATATAGGAAATGAAGTAGATTCAGACTTGTCTATTTTTTATAAAAAATATTTATTTAATAAATCATATTTAAAATAAATCAATAGAAAAATAACAACAAAAAGACGACTTAAGAAAAAGTTTGTACATTCCGTAGTCATTAGCTGCTTTGTTTTGGATAATTTTGCAATGAAAGTACGTTAAATGTTATTATTTTAACGTTGTACCCCAGTTTAAAAAAAACGAGCAACTTTGGTCCAGTAGAACACGAGATATGTCATTTTTTTCTAAGCGTTCTATTTTGAAACCGTGCGCTCGACTTTTTTGGAGAGCGCGGCTTGTGTGCAATCGGCTATCCCCACTCCTTCCATTCTAGTCGGAACGCAAAGTACTCTTGGTTTACAACACTCCTGTTTATAACAATTTTCAATTATTTTGTTTACTTAACATTTTGTTAAAAACTTTTGACTTTTCTTCTAAAAGATTGGTTAATTTCAGCCCTCAATGTTGTTAATTGACGTAACAGTGATTTAAAAAAAGGACTAACTCGGCTCCTAATGGTCGCAGGACCTTTTTTTTTAATTTGTGTTTTTTAACCAGCTTTCCGAATATTTTATTGCCATTTAATTTGAACTAAATAGTACGGAGTTATTGTAAATGTTTATAAGCTTAAAAATTGCTATTTATTTTTAAATCATTTTGTGTACATAAACGTAATTTTTTTTAACTTTTTTTCCATAGAATATTAATATATGTCTTAACGAAGAAAATAATACCCAGATTATTTAGATCCGTTTAGTCAAATCGTCCCTACCATTTCGAACTATCGAATGTGAAAAATCGGGTTTTTCAGATTCGATACCTTGTCCTTGCATTAGATGTGATACACCTTGTAGCAAAATATCGAAATTGTAGCGGTATCGATATAAGGAACTCTGTAAGACGCGGGAAAATTTTATTTAAACCATCGAATATGAACATTTTGTCATTTTGTTTTGGTCAAAATATCGAATATACTGCAAACTGACGAAAATGAAATATTCGATACTTGTGTTGTGTACTATAAATATACCTAAAGGCATATTTGTACAACGCAAAATGACGAATGTGTCACATTCATTAGTTTCAGTGTTGTAATTGATACAGTTATTCAATTATAATCTGCAAACTGTCGAAAAGACTAAACATTGTTGACAAGAACAAAACGCATGTGTTCACAATGGTGTGAATTATTGCTTCCAAGAAGTTCTTTCGGTGAGGCACTTTATCATTTTGTTTTTATCGGTTTCTCATTATCTGATTATTCAGTCAACTATGTGTAGCTAAACCAGAAACAGTGATTTTGTCAAAACAAGAATTATTAAAAAAAAACATTAAAGAATGCTGTCTTTGGGACGTCGTCCACATAGTGTAATTCTCCTTTCTCTCAGAAACACCTCGAAAGAAAAGATACAGCGAGAATAAAAAGGCATGAAGATAAACAGTCCGCTTTGGAGAATAGGAAAATATTAGCATTTAATTTCGATTTTCAATTTGTTTTGTCAACGCCTAAAGGACATCTATCTGCAGGACCTTGTGTTTATGTGAGAAAACTTTTTTAATTTGGCCATTTATTATTTAAGAGAAGGGAGCGTCCAGTGTATCATATAGGGTGGAACCGAACGAAAACGCGGTGGTACTGAAATTGCTACATGTATATTTAAATACATCATGTCTTACCCTCATATTGAACACGTCAAACAAAAGTGATGTCTGACAATTGTAAAGGACAACAGAAAAACTTTGCTTTTTCTGCAATGTGTCAATATGTTGTTAATTGTCACCCAAATTTAAAAACAGTTGACCATGTGTTTTTTGTCCCGGGTCACTGAGAAATGGATTGCGATTCTATCGATTCAAAAATTGAATCTTACTGAAAAAATCCCCTGTATAGGTACACCCTTGAATGATGGGCACAAATCATAAGACTTGCACGCACTAAGCCATGCCCGTTTGAAGTGACATACCTACTTCATAACGACTTCTTAGATTTCAAACAAGCAAAGGTGACATTTGCACTAGAAAATAAAATAAATCCAAAGAACAAACAAAATAAATATGAAAAAAAAAGAAGTAAAAGATGAAGAGCAAACAAGTAATGCAATTACTAATTTTAAATATAGTGGTGGTATACGGTACCAGTATCGGCAAAATGAAAATAAATTTTTATGAAGACTAAAATTGATGGAAACTTTTTATCTCTTGAAACCAAACAAAAAAGAGGCAAACAAAATAGTATAAAAGTATATGTGAACAAAACTTATTACCTAGGCCATACCACCAATATTACCAATATTTATACCAACATCTAGTACTGCCAGAGATTGTCTTCCAGAACCTGACGCAACTATAGGCAACGATAACGTTTCATTGAAAATTTAAAACTTTTAATTTACCATTATTTTACAACAATTGGGGTCATGACTGAATACTTGAGGTATCTACAGGACGTGAAGTTCCATAATTAATGTTTGTTACGTTTCTAATTACATCAATTTTCTAGCAATACATACTTTCATAAAAATACTTTTAACAATTTTTTTAAACATAATTTTTCCATTTTATCCTACATCTTTCATTTTTAATTAAATCATTTGTAATAAACTTTGTAAGAACATTACAATTATTTTAATATTCCTCATTTTTAATTAAGAACATAAATGTGTTAACATTAGACCAATATGAACTTGAACTGTCGAAATGCCACATTCGCTATTTTGAAACATTGCACTAATGAATGTGTTAAAATTCTACCAATATAAACTGACGAAAATGCCACATTCGCAATTTTGAGACATTGTACCAAAACAAATCGTTGATTAACACAAAAGACAAAGTATCGAATGTGATTTTTTGGAAAGAAAAAAACAGTAAACAGTTATTCTTTTATCAATCTAACAAGGATTAAACATTAAATGTAAAAAATATAAAATTTTTTCCATTTGTCAAGGCGCTGGTTTAGGATTCTCTAAAAAGAGTTTTCTTGCTCTCCTGAAAAGTACTACTTTTCACATTCGATAGTTGGAAATGGAAGGGACAAAATTATCTAGATCGGCCTTAGAAATTTATGCATTCTTCAAAAAATCTTATAAACAAATTAAATTGTGCAAAAACTATTCGACGGATCTAGCCTATCTTTCGCACACACTTCGAACACGATGAAATCTTTAAGTTCAGATAGTTTTAAATAAATTTTAAGAGGTTGGAGCAACCAAGATTTTTGTCAATTTTGCGAAAAAAAAAATAAATATACGTAATAATTATCTATGTAATTAATATGTATTAATATATGTAATTAATATTGTTAGTATTTTTAATTGAACGTATCATTTCAAGAACAAAATACGAATGAAATGTCAGATTTGAATAGTTCAGATTTTCTTTCCTATATGGCGCTAGGAAAGAAGGATTTACATCTAAAATAATGTAAACCTTTACGTTTTAAAATAAATTCAACCTTAAAAATATTATTATAATTAATTATTAATTATAATAATATATCTTTAATACAGTATTTGTCTACGTTAATATACGGAGTAGAAGCCTGGACACTTTCTGAAGCTTCTTTAAGAAAACCCGAGGCATTTGAGATGTGGTGTTACAGACGTATTTTAAGAATTTCATGGTTGGATCGTGTGACTAATGTTGACGTCCTACGTAGAATAGGCAAAGAATGCGAGATTATTAACACCATCAAAGAGCGCAAACTAGAATATCTTGGCCATGTTATGAGGAATGAACAGAGATACGGCTTGTAGCAACTCATTCTTCAGGCCAAGGTATTTGGAAAGAGAGGACCAGGGAGAAGAAGAATATCTTGGCTTCAATACCTGAGAAAGTGGTTTAATACATCGACAACCGGACTATTCACAATAGCAGCAAGCAAAGTTAGGATAGCCATGTTGATCGCCAACATCCGAAACGGATAGGCACCGTAAGAAGAAGAAGAATACAGTATTATTATTTAAACGTATCGTTTCAAGAACAAAACATGATTGAAATATGGTAGTTCATATTTATTTCCTAAATAGCGCCGTAAGGGGACCGGAATTACAGTGTGATTGTCACTGTCATCATAGCCTTTTATATAGATACACTGTGAATGACAAAAGCATGTTTTATTGAAAGGAATTTATAATAAAAACAACTCTGTCAAATACTACCTAATAAAATTAAAAAAGAAGACATTTTAATTCAGCCAAATAATTTTACAGGTACAATTTACAAATTTAAGGAAAAATCAAAATTTGATAAAAATTAAAAAGGAGTTTTTAGAGTAAACGCTACCCCCTCTGTGGCTCAGTGGTAAGAGCGCCTGCCTTTAAACCTAAAGGTCGTGAGTTCGAATCCCACCTGGGTGGAAATTTTCGTTTATTAAAAAAATTAATAAATGAAAATAATTTCTATCCTTGTGTGATCGGTACACACCGGAGGGACCGCAGACGTTCGGATACAATTAGCGTCTCTTAGCAAAGACAATGACGTCGACTTTGCTAAGTATCAAGACAATTACTCTACACACACACACACACACACTACACCTCAAATTGTAAGATTGGCGAATGGATTTAGTGTCCGCAGTCATTAAAACACAAACAAACAACAACAACAGAGTAAATGCTGAAATGCCAAATTTACTTTTTCTCAAATACTCTAATAATTATAATAATTATTATATTTACATGTGTATAAGTTTTTTATTTTTAGTTTTAATATGTTCTAATACTCTCTGGTGATTTCAGTACTGATTATAGTCTACGTAAGATATCGATATTTGCAAGAGATACAAAGAAAAAACAACTATTCAATGACTTTAAGAAAAATAAATACTGCTGGATTGTATGTTGGATATATTAGTATTTTTGGTTGTTTAATTGTCGCAAATTTTCAAGTTACTGAGACCTTTGTAGTTCATAACATTGGAGCTTTCAGTTGTTTTGGGTGTGGAGCTATTTACCAAGTCATTCAGGTATGACAATTTTTATAAATTTTTCCCGTAGAGTTTGTTTCTATAACTCTTTCCTTTTAAAATCTTCAAAAATATTTGCTCAACTTTAGATTTGAAATGAGTAAGTAAGTATTATAATGGTAAATAAAATAGATTTTTTAATCTTGCGCTAAAACAGTTCAATATGTTTAATTAATATTGCATTTTTATTACTTTTGAAAATTTATAGAAAAAATCCCGTCCTATAGAATTTTGGCATCTTACAATCTACATACAAAATTTAGCGTTGTAGACAAAAAACAATAGTGATTAAAACATTTAAAAAAGTTACGGGATGTACCCCTTTAAAAATACTATCACTGTACTTCACTGGGTACATGTAAAAAAAATAATTATAAGAATAGTTTCGTTTTTCATATTGACCACCAACCGGAAATATTCAGCTTACTATACTGGTGGCAAAAAAAATGCAATACTTTGTATACAGTTATTTATTTGGATCAGTAGTATTTTTTATAATTCTTATCTAAAAATATATATGCAATAAAGTTTTTACATAAAAAAAAATAATTACCCAAAAATATATAATTCCAAGAGTTTGCGGTCGTCGGCAATTTGGTTATTTAAGCGACTTCGAAAAAGAACGCATTGTAGGAATACAAGTGGCCCTTTTTGGTTTAATTTATCAATGTTGTAAAGAATTTAGATAAGGTGGTCCAATGATGAGATTTAACAGCGTCGTGCAGGGTCTAGACGTCCTAAAATATTACAAGGCCGTGATGTGCGTCATCTTAGACTTCTTGCTCTCAGAAATAGAAGGGACAGTGTACATCAAGTAAGAGAAGATTTAGCTGCAGCAACAGGTAGGGTAGTCTCAAGAAGGACAGTTAATTAAAGAGTACTTGTAATGGGACTGAGAGCTTACCGTCGGCTTTTGGTGTTACTTTTGACACTATAGCATAAGTCTCGATGCTTAGAATGGTACAGAGCTCGGCAAAACTGGAATGGCCAATGGTACTTCGTCTGCTTTACTGATGAATCTAGGTTTTGTTTGGGTGGCTCTGATGGATGCATAAGGATAAGCCGTTTTCTAGGTGAAAGACGAAATATGGACTTGGCTGTTGAATGTCATAAATAAAAAAAAACAAGCATTATAGTATGGTTTCGCTATATGTTTGAGTAGCAGATCACCTTAAGTTCTTATTAACGGCACTCGACGATATATTGGTGAAATACTATAACCGATGTTATATCTGTTCCTACATACTATTTTAAATGTGATCTTTTAGCAGGATAACACAAGATTGCGTGTGAAACCATAGAGTTTACACAAATGTCTGGTATAGAGATTTTGGATTGGCCATCCAGATCAGCTTATTGGACACACGTCAAACATTTTCGAAGTGGAGATTGAAACGTCAATAAACTTATTTTAACCTTCAATTGTGGCTTATTCCCATTAAAATACTAATTACTTCAAACTGCCACAAGAAAATGCTTCAGAACAACATTAAAAAACCGTTATGGGTCCTGCGTTATTTCAAAATTTTCAGGGTAATATTTTATATTGAAATAATATATAATTTCTATTTTAGGTAATACTTTCATTTAAAATGTATCCAACTATAGGACATAGAACAAATAATATATTTAGAGCAGTTGTAACATGTTTAAACTTTATTAGTGCATTCATTATTGCCGCTTTATCTGTTAGATATTATACAGGTATGTAGTCCCTTTCAGCCCATTTATTTAAAAAAGAGGCAGATTAATTATTTTATTGAATTAAGATGCATAACAACTTGAACATGATATTTTCTTGTTTTTTTTTATCTCTCCTTGTGGAGTATTAGGCGCGTATGCGTTTCTTGGCCAAAAGTGAAGATAGCTGCCTGACCGGATCAGCGCATCTTGTTTCTTGTTCATTCTTTAAATTAATGTGTACTAGTTCCTTCCATTCTCTTCCATTTCCTGCTCTGTAATTCAGTACGCCCCATCTTAGTGCAATTTAGTGCTCTCTCGTTGCGGCTCTTTTCCAGGTGATGTCTGCTCATTTTTTTTACTTTTCAAAGTATGGTCAATCCATTTCCATTTTTTTCCTTGGCTGTAGTAGATATATTAGTTTACTTTATTCCATCCCTTAATTTTGTATGTCATTCTGGTAGGCCAGTATATGTTCATGATTTTTATTAAGGATTTGTTTACAGATGTTTGCAGTTTATAAATTGTAGTTTCGTCCTGTTTTCATTTTTCTGCTCCATAAGTATAGTATACTTTTATTGCAACTGTTAAAGAGTTCAATTTTTTTATTTACAATATTTCGGCTATTTGCCAAATTTTATTTAAAGCGTTGAATGCATGTTAAGTATTTATTGTTTTCGTCTGTATAACCGTTTTGATTTCGGTATTTAGTTAGCAAGCAGATTCCATCTGCAAATTCAAGTTCTTCTAACTCTTTGAATACCTGAATGCGACGTAGCAAACAAAAGTGGAGGATATAACGAATCTATTTAGATAGAAAAAACAAAGACACTACCAAAAGGACACTACACATAGTCTTCGATATTTTTGAACTATCACATGACACTATGAATGGTAATAGACATATTTGCTGTATACATATATAAAGCATAATGTAAATATGAGGTAAATTTGCTTTATTGACCTGAAAAGGGCATCTGACTGATTATAAAATAGAGAACTAGCCTAATACTAGCATATGACACATCAAATCAAACGACGTGAGACGTATAGTACATATAACGTATATAGCGTGCCATTAATTAATGTATGTATGTATGTATGTATATATATATATATATATATATATATATATATATATATATATATAGAGTACAGGGTACAGGGATAAAAAAAAACATGATGTCAAGTCAGAAGTGCCCAGCTCATACTTTATATTTACTTGGATTATATAAAAAAAGTTTATTGTGTTAAAAATTTAGTGACTGTAGATGACAATTGATTGGATCACCTTTGGATCCCCATTGGAGCCCGTCACATACAATAGGCAAATTTACTATTATTATATACTAAAAAGGACAGGTAATTGGCATATACAGTGACTCAGAAGTTGTAGTAGTAAGGTAAAGTGGCGAAATTGTCATCGACTATATTAAAAATAAAAATTGCATAAAATCCAATCAACTAAAGGCTTATGCTTTCTGTCTTAGAAGAACCATAAAGTGATATAGGAAAATAGCCATTGAAATAATTTCTCTGGAGTCAGCAGTTGTAAACGCATTTTAATTATATAAAAAAGTAACGGGCTCTAATAATAACCAGCATAACGCAGTTCAGAAGAGAAATAGCTAAAGTTTATTGTAAATAGACCCAAAGGAAAAACCCAGATGCATATTTTGCTGTAAGAAGTTGTCCGAAAATTTTAAGAGAAAGTATGCGATTTTCCAAGCAATTCAAAATAATGATACGGAACCGGGCAAATGACACCGGCATGATGACCAATTCCTTAAATTTAGAAAATTTCTAATGCAGTTTGGCAACACCTCTCTAGCATAATGTAAAGGCGCGTGCCCGTAACAGGCAACTCAGTTTAGACGAATCAACCGTTCGCTGCGGTCATTATTTGTAATAGATATCTCTTTGTACACGTGATATAATTTTGTATGATATTGTTTAGTATACTACGGCAATCAGTGATTAGTTTTTAAAATTGTTACAGCTCTACAATCAAAATATGAGTTTAGTTATTACATTAATGTAACTTAAATCAAAAGAATTGTTGTGGTTTCTTTTAAGGAGGCAAAAATAGTTAAATATGAAGCGTGGGGCATAATGAACGGGGCAAATGAGCAATAATAGGGTGCCCATAATGCCCCAGTCCGTATTGCCCCTCGTTATCAAGCTGTTAGATACACTCTTAAACCAACGTTTGTTTCTATATAAAACATACCAACAGACAATCTTGGACATACCATGGAATAGCGCAAGCAATTAATGCTGTTATAAATCGAAACATGGCGTGTCAAACTGCTGCTACAAATTATGCTGTTCCTCGTGCTACTTTACAACGTCGCATACGTAAATACCAAGCCAATAAAGACATGTCTTGTGCCGTTAAAAAAGGCATGGGATTCTTCAAACCGGTATTTACACCAGAGCAGGAATTGGAGTTGGTTGGCTATATTCAAGATATGGAAAATCGCCTTTTTGGGCTTGCATCAAGAGACCTTCGAAAAGTTGCATATCAGTTAGCAGAATGAAACGAAATTTCCCATAACTTTAATCATACCACCAAAATGGCGGGAGAAGATTGGTTGTCTGCTTTCCTTAAAAGGCATGATGTTCTATCTTTGAGAAAACCAGAGGCAACTTCTGTAGCACGCGCTATGGGGTTTAACAAAATTTCAGTAAATAGGTTCTTTGAACTTCTAACTACGACTATTGAGAAATACCAGATAACGGCAGATCGATTATTTAATGTTGATGAGACTCGCATAACCACTGTTGCCAAAAGTCTCAATAAAATTATCGCAACCAAAGGGAAAAAGCAAGTTGGGTCTTTGTCGTCCGCAGAGAGAGGGAAGATACTTACTGTAGAAATATGTATGGGTGCAGATGGTTCATTCATGCCTCCACTTTTTGTTTTTTCAAGGAAACGAATCAAGCCGACTGTTAGATGGCGCACCAACAGGGTCTTGGGCTGAGTGTAATGATTCAGGCTGGATGCAAGGTGATTTGTTTGTTAAATGGTTTAAAAAATTCGTAGCATGGTCAAGAGCTTCAAAAGAAAATATTGTGTTGTTATTGTTAGATGGCATTTTACGCACACAAAAAATTTAAAACTTATTGACCTTGCAAAACAGCATGGTGTAGTTCTGTTGTGTTTTCCACCTCATTGTACCCATAAACTATAGCCAGTAGATGCAAGCTTCATGAAACCATTAAGTGTCTATTACGCTGACGAAATAAAAAATTGGTTAAGGTTGAATCCAGGTCGAGTAGTTACTCACTACCAAGTGACTGAACTTTTTGGAAAGGCG